AGAGGTTATATGTTCTCATACTGTCCTTGAATAGATGTTATATGTTCTCATACTGTCCTTGAATAGAGGTTATATGTTCTCATACTGTCCTTGAATAGATGTTATATGTTCTCATACTGTCCTTGAATAGAGGTTATATGTTCTCATACTGTCCTTGAATAGATGAACCAGTAACAGTTGTGAGGTAAGTAGAAAGTTCCATATTATTACAACTGACTTGTGTTGACAGTCTTCACTTGAACCAGTAACAGTTGTGAGGTAAGTAGAAAGTTCCAGATTATCATAATTGACTTGTGTCGACAGTCTTCACTTGAACCAGTAACAGTTGTGAGGTAAGTAGAGAAGTTCCATATTATTATAACTGACTTGTGTCAACGGTCTTCACTTGAACCAGTAACAGTTGTGAGGTAAGTAGAAAGTTCCATGTTACTATAACTGACTTGTGTCGACAGTCTTCACTTGAACCAGTAACAGTTGTGAGGTAAGTAGAAAGTTCCAGATTATCATAACTGACTTGTGTCGACAGTCTTCACTTGAACCAGTAACAGTTGTGAGGTAAGTAGAAAGTTCCAGATTATCATAACTGACTTGTGTCGACAGTCTTCACTTGAACCAGTAACAGTTGTGAGGTAAGTAGAAAGTTCCATATCATTACAACTGACTTGTGTTGACAGTCTTCACTTGAACCAGTAACAGTTGTGAGGTAAGTAGAAAAGTTCCATATTATTATAACTGACTTGTGTTGACAGTCTTCACTTGAACCAGTAACAGTTGTAAGGTAAGTAGAAAGTTCCATATTATTATAACTGACTTGTGTCGACAGTCTTCACTTGAACCAGTAACAGTTGTGAGGTAAGTAGAGAAGTTCCAGATTATTATAACTGACTTGTGTTGTTATGTTTCCTAGTACAGTAAGTTGGTTCAAATTACATTCAGTGAAGTCTGACTCTGCTTGATTCTTAGTATTTCTATAATTGTAAAATTCTGCACTCATGCTTGGAAGATAAATTAATAATTTATATCATTTCTATTAACAGAACACGATATCATGTGTAGCAGAGAGTGGAAAACCACAGTAAACGAAACAAACTGTCGGTTTTAATACTCGAAATAGAGTCAAACAGCTGTTGTTGACTAGTTTTTTGTACTAGAAGACAGCCTGTGACTGAAGAGGATTCACCCATGTGTCAAAACTAGTTTTTCCGGAATTCTGACGGTTTCTTCCATTTACTGTGGTTTGTCTGTAATTTTCATCATTTACAACAACTTGGGAAAAATACCTTTTTTAAAAAATTATATTAATATCAGTTTCTAAAAACAAACTTGTATGTTAATTAATCAGAAACAGGTAGGAAAGAGGAAAGGATAAATGTTAATTTTCTCAAGTATAAGAACTTTTTGGTTTTCAGTGCAAGCCAAGAAACTCCTTCCTGAAGAAATATATCAGTCCAAAGTCAATCACTCCTGTTCCTCAGCACTTGATCAAAAAGTTTGGTCGACAGATTCTTATAGCTTTAAAGTTTCTGCAAGATAAAGGAATACCTCACGGTGAGGTTATTTTTCATTCATATTGTGGTTTCTCCTTTTTTAGTTTTTAATGACTACAGGGGGTCGAGTACATTATATAAAATGTATTTTGAATATGCAAATCAGTAAGTTGTAACAACCATAGCAGATATAAAATTGCATTGGAACAGCATGTATCAGAACCACCTTTTTACATTGTTTGACATTTTGTAGGTAATGTTATTCTACTAAAAATTAATCATTTTTCAGAAGGTTGTAATAGTCTTTTGTGGCATGAAATATGCGCACACTCGGTTCATAAAGATGTGATCTGAGGAATTTAGAACTTCCCATATAGGGAGATTCCTTGTTTTTAATGGCATTGGAAAACAAAAGAAGGGTTATGTCAACTTGGGGAACCAGAATTGTCCAGAAAGAGGCCTGCAATAAATCATACCTCAGCCGTGGTAAGCAAAGCATGGCATTTTTTAACAACATTGACCATAATCAAGAAGGATCTCCACCTGGAAACTGGGTCAAGAGGGTATGGGTTTGCCAGGATAAAACTTTCAACCATCACACACCTCAAGCAGTTGGAGAATGAAATGGATAATCGTGTTATTCCGTACGAAGATGTGACAGGCGAGTGGATTTTTGTGCTACCAGACTGTTAAAATAGTTGCTAGGAAACTATTTTAGATGGACTATGGAAAGCCAGCAGGGATGAGTGGTGTGCTTTCAACATGATAACCTTATGGCAGAGCCTTTGAAATGGAAATTATGTTGCAGTGCTATTGTTAAGATACATTTTCATCAAATAGAGCATGAGAAGATGTGGGTACATGGCCAGTAATGACACGATAATAGTTTTTCTGGTCAATCATTTTTCCATCTGCAGTTTTTTGGAACATTTGATTTTTAAAAGATATTTTTCATTTATGTTAGGCTGAAATGTAATTTCTAAATATTTATACATCTGGTTATTTCAATAAATGTCATGTAATTATGCAACAACAGCCCACAGAAACAATGGAAGCATGAAAGATGTAATGGTGTGTTTTTACAGAAACACGAAGAGCATGAATGATGTAACAATATGTTTTTTTACAGAAACACAAAGAGCATGAATGATGTAATATGTTTTTGATGGGAACATGAAGAGCACGAATGATGTAATGATGTTTTTTACAGAAACACAAAGAGCGTGGATGATGTAATGATATGTTTTTTACAGAAACATGAAGAGCATGAATAATGTAATGATATATTTTTTACAGAAACATGAAGAGTATGAATGATGTAATGATGTGTTTTTACAGAAACATGAAAAGCATGAATGGTGTAATGACATATTTTTTACAGAAACATGAAGAGCATGAATGATGTAATGATATGTTTTTTACAGAAACATGAAGAGCATGAATGGTGTAATGACATATTTTTTACAGAAACATGAGTATGGATGATGTAATGATATGTTTTTAACAGAAACATGAAGAGCATGAATGATGTAATGATGTGTTTTTTACAGAAACATGAAAAGCATGAATGGTGTAATGACATATTTTTTACAGAAACATGAAGAGCATGAATGATGTAATGATATGTTTTTTACAGAAACATGAAAAGCATGAATGGTGTAATGACATATTTTTTACAGAAACATGAAGAGCATGAATGGTGTAATGACATATTTTTTACAGAAACATGAGTATGAATGATGTAATGATATGTTTTTTACAGAAACATGAAGAGCATGAATGATGTAATGACTATTATTTTAGTAACAGAAACATGAAGAGCATGAATGATGTAATTGTATAATATTTTTTACAGAAAC